TTTCCCTATAATGCAGTGATACCTTGTTATGTAGGGGCATCTCCTCCATAGTAATCAATGGCACACACTAAGGAAAACTTGAGTTTCAGAAACTTAAAGTCCTTCCCATCTTGAAAATCACACGTGTTAACAAATCTCTTCAGTTTTTACCACATGAATGCAGTTTCGTTGAAACTAAAAATTGTGTGTTGCCGGTGTTGTTCAGGCTGTTTCTAACAGCTGGAAATATGGGATCATGTGGCCAGTGCTTTCTCATCTTTGCTGAATGATGTCAGCGTCCTGCAGAACAAAGCTAAAGAGGAAGATGAAGGGAAAAGTGTGCAAAGAACCTCAGTGAGTGAAACCAAGGCGCATGGAAGAAGAATGGGTGAACTTTTTAGGATAGGTTCAAAGCAGAACGCTAGAAGGGATTATAGCCTGGGAGCATCCCAGTCACTGAAGATGAGAAACAAATTTTCCATCGCCTCTGCAGAAGCAGGGTGTGGAGCAGAGTTGCCATGACAAACAAACACGACCAAAGTCATTTGTCTCTTTCAGCAGAGCACTGGTCTCTTCAAGCCTGTGATGACTTGACACCTTGTGATCCTCCCCAAGCTCTTCTGAGCAAGCAGCGTCCTCACTCATCCATGCTGGCCAAGCAGGCTCCTCCTTCCTGTGTGTCTGAGGGGTTAGTCAAGGACAGAACTCAAAAGGAGAACTCACTTCAGACTAACAAACTCAAGAGCTTGTCTTGTCTTGCAGGCAAAGCACCAGCCTCCTTCGAAATGGAAGAGGTCAGTGTACTCAACCTCTAAGGGAAGTAACTCCCACCAAGGCATCTTTTGCCTTCCACCCCTCATTTAACCCCTTCATCTTTCAACCCTTCAGCATTACATCTTATTCCAAACTTCTGTTTAATCTAGGACATTTAAAGTCATTCTAGTTACTTCAGTCAGAACTAAACTAGTATGAAGCCAACCTTTGCTTTCTCCCATTTCTTTTCCTTTTTTTCTCACAACTGAATCCACAGGCTATTTTTCACTTTGCTTTTCCTCAGTGTTTTATTATGCATCTCAGTATACTTTCATCTACTCTCTAACTTTTTGTGTTTCACCTTCTTTGAGGGTCAGTTCAACTACTTGCCACTAAGTGAAGGTAGCTCACCACTCTTCCTCTGTATTCCCGTAGCCTTGACAGGGAGAGCTTGTTACAGTAAAGATTGTGTGTGTGTGTTGATAACACCTCCCCCGCTGGACTGTCAGCTCCTTGAGGATTAGATTTTATCCTCAAGGGAATATGTCTCGGCGGGTGGGGGGGGGGAATATTTCCCTTGCAACACCTAATGCAGGGCCTTGGACAAAAAAAAAGTAGGGACTTGGGTTTGATAGCATTTTATTTGTTTGCTTGCTTTGGGATTTAGTGATACTCACATAGCTTGACCTCCATTTCACACATATTCTTTGCCTCTTCATCCCACCTTCCTTGACACGTGCTAATTTTCATTGTCATTTAGATGTGGCACACCCAACTGTACTTCAAAGTCTTTTTAAAAAATACATACACATTTTCACTCATCTCCTTATTCTTTAATTACAGAGAAAGTATAGAAGAGCAAGGCTTTTTCCCCCTCTTCATGTAAATTGTTTAGAAGTCGGGTAGGATATTTATATGCCAGTCCCAAGGTCAGGCCAATCTCTTTCGAGCCCTCTACAGGTGAGACACTCTACATGTGAGCCCTCTACATGTGGGCCCACTACATGTGAGACACTCTACATGTGAGCCCACTACATGTGAGGCTCTGGGACACAGACTCTGCCCTCAAGGGAACCACAGTGTAGTGGCAGGGATAAGCACAAAAACCAATAACATGGTAGGGAGAGTGACAGCTCTGCTGATAAACTTTTATGTGACTAAAGAGACAAGTTTGGATATCTGGGGAGTAAGAAAAGGGGCTCCTAATCAGCCAGGGGGCTGAGACAATCAAGGAAATCGTAGGATGTTAAAGCTTAACAATAACTTTAAAAGAAGTCTAAGAATGCCTATTGGTAGGTCTCCCCATCCCACAAAGAGATAAAAATTGCCTCAAAATAGATAGCTGTTAATGATCCTAATATCTATGTGTATATGTTTTTGTATGCATATGTATTATGTCAAAAATTATTTTAGGAACCTTAAAATATTAATCTGACTTTAAAACAGTAGCATAAAAATGAATAAAAATTATAAATGGAGAAAAAACAGAGCTTTGGTCAAGTGCCGTGATTTGAATACAATCGCAGGTGGCACTAAAAAAGAGTATTTTCTTTTATTCAGTCTTGTAAAAATTATTTAATTACCAAACTAATAGTTAAATTACTATAAAGACTATAAAGACAATCTGCAAGCCATTATTCAGTCTGCTGTCTATTTCCTAGGATCCAAACAGGAAATTCACCAAACTCCAGCCTGTTGACAAAAGCCTCATTAGACTCCACGGTCCCCTTACTAAGCTTCTTCTGCATCAAACTAAACTGACTTAGAGGAGAACAAAGTTCCTTGTGTGTCATCTATATGTGAGAGTACAGGGAGAGATAAATATCATCATATTCAACATAAAGAACTAAGAAAAGAACGTTAGTCCTTGCATGGCAAACTTTCAAATATTCTTACATGGCAATTATTCAAGGAAAAGCAATACGTACTAGTATATATAGGTGTGGTAAGGGAGAACACACTCAGACACCAAAAATAAAAATAAAAACCTCACGTTTTGTGGCACATAGTGGGAACTTGGTAAATATTCATAAACGAGTAAATTAATATTAGAAGTATTTGATAATATTAATTTAGTCTGTGAGTGGCTTCCATATAAAAACAAAATATTCTGTTGAACTTTGAAGCCAACTTTGTTTGTGGTGTTTCTTTAATATTTGCCCAGATTTGTGTAAGAGGCTATATATATATATATATATATATATATATAAGGCAGAGAGAGCCTTCAAAATGATATTAAAAAACTCACTATTTGAATTTTGTTTTCTTTTTTTTAATAAATTTATTTACTTATGTATTTATTTTTGGCTGTACTGGGTCTTTGTTGCCGCGCGCGGGCTTTCTCTAGTTGCAGTGAGCGGGGGCTGCTCTTCCTTGTGGGCACGGGCTTCTCATTGTGGTGGCTTCTCTTGTTGCGGAGCACGGGCTCTAGGCGCAGGCTCAGTAGTTGTGGCGCACGGGCTTAGTAGCTCCGCGGCATGTGGGATCTTCCCAGACGAGATCTCGAACCCATTTCCCCAGAATTGGCAGGCGGATTCTTAACCACTGCACCATCAGGGAAGTCCCGAATTTTGTTTTCTTAAAAATGTATATTTAAAATATTAAATCTTCATCACACAGACTGGGAGAAAAATATTTCTTTCACTCAAAACCAGTGTATGAGTAAATGAAACTTGGGTAGGTTGTAGCTTAAACAGGAGCTAATGCCAGATTTAATAGTCATTTTTTAATGGCAAATTTAAAAATATAAGAAATGAAAACTGTGTGTGAAATTGGCAGATTTTCATGGCAGTTAAAACATAAACCAATGTACTTAAATATCTACCTATCAGAATTTCAACTCTGATTGGCCAAATTCTGCCTCCAGATCACTCTATGATGCTTTCCCTAAAGTCCTACTAAAGGCTGAATATGGTAATATTTGGCTCACTTCTCAAAATTATGATTCCAACCAAGTTGTACATAGATTTTTAATGCAAAAATCAACATTTTTGTGTTTAATTTTACTGAGTTAAACTGAGTCTGTTCCTTTCTTTTTTTTAATTCCCAAATATATTATGAGAATTTAATACTTACGAACCTTCTGTAATTGTAGACTCTCTTAGGATGCTTCTTTGTATCTACAATATAACATCTTTAACCTTCCCTCTCACTTACATACAAGGATCCTGCTCTCTGGAACTCCTATGTAAGAATGTTACCCATATTATTAAACAATGACAGTCAGCATCTTGTTTAGGTGAGAAATGTTTCAAACGTTATAATTATTTCTTTTTTTTTTTATTAATAACTTGGGCCCAGGTGGAATAACCCAGGAGTACACCTGGTTTCCATTTTACATTATTCGGAATTTTTTTGTTGTTGTTCTTTTTCTTAATAGATGAATAGGTACTTTACATTGCGCTAAGTGGATTTTTCTCCAGGATAACAGTCACAGAGAAAAAATTTACTTATTATACTGAAAAATTTATATGGTGCACACTGGTTTGAGTTACAAAACCAGTAAAAATAATGTTAAGAAGTATGTCTAATCAATTACAAGTATAAAGTACCTTCTGTGAAAAAAGAGATGAAGGATTAAAAAGAGGGAATAAATATTTCTTCTTACATTGCTGAGCTATATCCTCATAGTCCTCTGTTTATTCCTGGGTTAAAGGTAATTTTTGGCCATATGTACCACAGTGTTTAAAATGTTTTCATCCTTTGATTCAGCCTTCAATATTCAGACATGAATCCCAAATAAATAATATGACATGTAGAAATAGATTTATGTACAGAGATACTCATCTCCGCATCATTTCTATTTGCAAAATTTAGAAAACTTTCCAACATTAGAATCATTAAGTAAATTAATGTACCTTCAAAATATGGCCTATTGTGCGCTCATTGAAGATGGTGTTTTCAAAGAAATTTTATGATGTGGGGAAAAAAGGTCCCTCCAAATTTTGAGTGAAAATTTGACTACGTTACTATACCCAGAATTAATGTATTAAAAGAAAACCTGCAAAGACATGCTCCAAAATAATAACAGTAACCATTTTCTTGCCTTCTTTAACTTTTTATATTTATCGTTTCTATAGAAAGCTGTTATTTTTAAAGAAATAATTATTATTTTGTCTTAATAATTTTATTCTCATTAATAGGGTAATATTCATTAATTTCTTAAAAGAATTTTTAAAATAAATTCTACTCTCTCAATTTGAAAATCAAATTTTCTTTGAGCTTTCTAAGCTTTATATAGCAACTGAGTTATGAAATTTCCTGAATTGCTCTCCACAAATTTACCAAGTTGTAAATAAATCCCTTAGAGAGCTAAAATTAAATATGGGAAATAACTTGCTTGCTCCAAATATAGCTAAAGTTCTTTAGGAACAAAAAAAATATTTCTAGGTTAATAGTAATAATATTATTTAAGTTCAGTTCAAATGCCACATTTTCCAGGCAGGGCCTCTATTCCTTCCACCCAGAAGTGATCTTTCCCTTTGCCTCTTCTTAACTCCCTTAGTTCTTTGAATCTTTGTTATGAGTGCCTTGTACATACCACCTGCCTGCCACAGACTGTTAGCTCTCTGAGTTCAGAAATCCTGTTTAATCCTCTTGGCAGTAGCCAGTAGGTATTCATTATATGTTGATTAAATAAATGAAGTGAATTTATTATGAAAGCGTTTCTAATGAGACTGATGCATTTTGGTGTCTCAGGTCCAGAGCTTTGAAGAAGAGGCTGGTAATCCTCTTGACATGACCTCAGGAACTGTAGGTAAGAATTCATCAAGGTGTACAATTTCCTCAATGGTCTTTCACAAAGAAAATGTCAATAACTAGTGCCCAATTTTCTTAATATGTAGAACTTAAATTATCTTCAAGAGATGCTATACCTACTATTACTACTACGACCTACTATTATTAAACACCTGCTAGCAATGCATATGTACATGTAAATTTCAAAATACTTACTACAGAAATGTCCAGTATCCCTGGGGCTAATGTAGTATGCGTTATTGTCTAACAAAAACTCTATATGCCCCAAATAGGCTAATGAAATGGATTTTACACAGACCTGGGACTAACTGAGTGAATACTTTCTTACTCCTACTGCCAACTGCTTGCTGTTGCACAAGTCATATTTTACTGGACCTCAGTTTTTCCGTCTGTAATAAAGAGATAAGTACAGATAATTTTTAAGTTCTCTGCTGGCACTTATAGTCTACATTAAGTGATTCTATGACCATCATATTAATCTCACAGTGGAAACAAGTTGCCTAGATGTAACATTCCAAATCATCTCTTAGACTGGTGTTATATTACCCTAGAAAACAGAGAAGGAAGTCATTCTCCACTACTGGTTCCTAGGCTGCCATTCAGCCATCATTGTGATTCAGCATCTCCATGATCCTACAAAAGAGCTAAAAGTAGACAGGGGTTGGTGAAGCAAAATAAAGCAGATGAAGCTCGCGTGTTTCCTAGAAGAAAATATGCAAATTTAAAATTTAATTTAGTGTGGTGTCAAACACATTTTTTTCATTACGAAGTGTATGTATGGGCCTCATTTTGCTAAACGCTGTTTAGAAATTATGCATTAGTAATTATAGGGTCCTGCTGATTACATAAATTGTTATTCTGCTCTTCGAAGTAATTACCACTAACCTGCACTGAGGTTTATAAGACAAAAATAAGCATCTGTTTTCCATCTAATTGAATGCTTCTCAGTGAAGCTGGAGGTCCCCTTGCCAATAGGAATTGCCTTCCTTGACATTCAATGAAGAGGTCTGCTGATACCGTGTAAGTCTCCCCAGTCATTCCAAAAAATGATTTGGGAAGTTAGGCAAAAGCACTAATTTACATTTAATCTCAAATTCATAGAACAAATTAAGATGGGTAAAGGTTGGGCTAATGGAGAAAATCTGAATTATAGTAAAGCAAATGTGATTTTATTACTTTCAAAAAGTGTTGTTAACCCAAGAAAAAATAGGACTGAGAAAAAATAAGTAAAACTAGTTTGATTAATAGGGAAAGGGAAAATTATTACTTTGATTGATATATATGAATGGATTACATATATATGAATTATATATGTACATATTAAATATATACACGTAAGAATGAATGAATGTTTACACAAAGTTCAAAAGATGACTTTACTCAAAAGATGAAAGCACATGGACTGTTTGACCAATAGGATATGGCAGAAATGATGTGCCACTTTCAAGCTTATCCTTTAACCCACCTGGCTGCTTCCTGTTTCTTGAGGTACCTGCTCTTGGAACATTCCTTCTGGGAACCTAGCCCTAGCTCATTCTGTGTGAAAAGTGCAACATGTGGGTATGCCACATGTGATCACTCTGGTGGGACAGCCTTGAATGAGCTCACCTGTGAATAAGCCATCTTAGTTACCCAGTTTGGTCAAACTTTCAAATGACTCCAGCCCAGATGCCATCAGACTGCAACTGCCTGAGAGAATCCAAGCGACAACCACATAGCTAAGCTGAGTCAATCCACAGAACCATGGAAGTAATAATGAATTGTAGTTTTAAGCCACATATATACATACAAATAGATGAAGGCATGTGATGAACACTTCAAATACCTTTAAAACTTGAAGATATTTTAAAGACTATTTCATCTACTCAAGCACAATACTCTGAATATTAGCAGAAAAAGTGTATTTAAGCATTTCCCTAAATGAATTTGAGCAAAATTTCTTCTTATGAAAGATGGGGACCCAAGGCCACAAATGTACCATCTTCCCTTTATCACTGAAAAATTATCACTGGAACGATGAGGGAATATAAATATAAGAAGGAAACATATAACAATTCTCATCTCACTGAAAATATTCATTTCTGAGGATTCCAAATGATTCTTTGTAGTCATTCTTTTATTGGTGGACATTTTTGGAATAGCCTCTAATTGTGAACTGCTAGATACTGTGGTAATTTTTCTGTGTTTGCTGATTTTATAGTGACAGGAAAGGTGTGCCTTGACTAATCTGAGAGTTAACTTAGATTCATTTGGAAATTATAACCATAACTCGTTAGTATAGTTCTACAGTGCACTTACAATGCTAAAGGAAGCTCTTCAGACTAATGATAGACAGTGAACTGTGATGTTTATACCATACATAAATGTAATACATATGACATTTTCAGCATGGAGGAAGGGGAGGTTGGTAAATGGATCAATATAGCTCAAAGTTTTTACATCTTATGTGAAATGGTACGATATTAAAGTACACCACGAGGGACTTCCCTGGTGGCACAGTGGTTAAGAATCCACCTGCCAATGCAGGGGACACAGGTTCGATCCCTGGTCCAGGAAGATCCCACATGCCGCGGAGCAACTAAGCCCGTGAGCCACAACTACTGAGCTTGCACTCTAGAGCCCGCGAGCCACAACTACTGAGCATGCGTGCCACAACTACTGAAGCCCGCACACCTAGAGCCCGTGCTCCTCAACAAGAGAAGCCCCTGCTCGCCGCAACTAGAGAAAGCCCATGTGCAGCAACGAAGACCCAATGCAGCCAAAAAATAAAAATAAATAAATAAATAAAATATAAAAAAAGAAAATAAAGTACACTGTGAAATTCTGAGGATTTAAAGCAACCATTAAAAAATCAATAGATAGCTAGTGGGAAGCAGCCGCATAGCACAGGGAGATCAGCTCGGTGCTTTGTGACCACCTAGAGAGGTGGGATAGGGAGGATGGGAGGGAGACGCAAGAGGGAGGAGATATGGGGATATATGTATATGTATAGCTGATTCACTTTGTTATAAAGCAGAAACTAACACACCATTGTAAAGCTTTATACTTTATGCTCCAATAAAGGTGTTAAAAAAAAAAAATGGGCAGGAGACCTAAATAGACATTTCTCCAAAGACATACAGATGGGCAAGAGGCACAGGGAAAGCTGCTCAACATCACTAATTAGTAGAGAAATGAAAATCAAAACTACAGTGAGGTATCGCCTCACACCGATTAGGATGGGTATCATTAGAAAATCTACAAACAACAAATGCTGGAGAGGCTGTGGAGAAAAGGGAACCCTCTTGCACTGTTGGTGGGAATGTAAATTGATGCAGCCACTATGGAGAACAGTATGGAGGTTCCTTATAAAACTGAAAATAGAATTACATATGATCCAGTAATCCCACTACTGGGCATATATCCAGAGAAAACCATAATTCAAAAAGACACATGCACCCCAATGTTCACTGCAGCGCTATTTACAATAGCCAGGTCATGGAAGCAACCTCAATGCCCATCGACAGACAAATGGATAAAGAAGATGTGGTACATATATACAATGGAATATTTCTCAGCCATAAAAAGGAATGAAACTGGGTCATTTGTAGAGATGTGGATGGATCTAGAGACTGTCATACTGAGTTAAGTAAGTCAGAAAGAGAAAAATAAAAATCAGATATTAATGCATATATGTGGAATGTAGAAAAATAGTACAGATTAACCAGTTTGCAATGTAGGAATAGATACATAGATGTAGAGAACAAATGTATGGACACCAAGGGGGGAAAGCAGGGTGGGTGGGGTGGGGGTGGTGGGATGACTTGGGAGATAGGGATTGACATGTATACACTGATGTGTATAAAATACATAACTAATAAGAACCTGCTGTATAAAAAAAAAGTTTAAAAAATCACAGAGGTATAGCAAAAAGCTGATAGAAAAATTAAATTATAATTCAGAAAACTACAATGAAGGCATAAGTGACAGATTGAATACTGCAGAAAAATAACTGAATTTAAAAAGTAGGAGACATGTGTGAGAAATTATTTAAGAATCAAGTAGAAAAATGAAATGGATATAATAAACAAAATGTCAAGGAAGACAGATCCAAGGAGTATATTACATAGTCCTAACAGGTGGTTAGAGTTGGACTCTTCCCGTCTTAGTTTTGACTGAGGTTCTAAAACAGATATCAGATACAAAGTCAACATGTGACAAATCCGTATATGCAGCTTTTCTAAGGAAATTGTAGGACTCAGTTCCACAACTCTTGAGCTCATTGTGTATTTAAAGAGGGGACAAGTTGAAGAGAGAAAGAAAAGACTGGTGAAGATATTTAATTGGGGAACAGTAGTGCCCTGTTGTGTGCCCATCTACCATTTGGAGGAGGACTGGGGATGCTACTTTGAGACCCAAGCAGTAAGGGGCATTTAAAGGAGGCCCCACTCACAGAGCAATTTCATTATGTTTAACAAGGACAGTCAGAGTGTAACCGGTACTTCACAGGTTCTGGGTACTTTACGTGCATTACACCTTTTAATCCTCAAAATAAACCATTGAGTTAGGCACTATTATTATTTCTAATTATTAGATGGCAAAACTGAAGCACAGAGAGGTTAAGTAACTTTCCATGGCCTCACAGATAGTAGAAAGTGGTTCCAGGTTTCACATTCAGGTCATCTAGCACCAGAGTCTGTACTCTTAAATACTATACCATACAACTTTGAAATGACTCCTCTGCAGTTGGAAGACATGTGGTTGGTGAATGAGAAGAATAATGCAGGCTGTGGAATGGATTGTGACTCCAGGCTGAGAACTGCTCAAGGACAAGTCAAGAGGGCAAGGGAAGAGTTGACCACTGTATTTCATCAATTATAAGATGAACAGTTTTCCCTTGAAATCAAGATACATCTTACAATTGATGGCAGGTCATAATTTAATTGGCAGAGGGTTTTTCCTTTTTTAGTGGTACATAAATAATAGAAATCTTAAAATTAATGGTATCTAATACCATTTGATGGCAACGGGCATA